GTTGTGTGTTGCTGCTGTTTGCTGCTGCTGCTGCTGCTTGCTGCTTGCTGGCTGCTGCTGCTGCATGCTGCTGTTGCTGCAGCTGCACGTTGTTGTGCTGCTGCGGTTGGGTTTTTGCAGCTGCTGCTGCTGGCTGCAGCTGCTGCAGCTGCTGCAGTAGACCCGACAAAGGCCATGCCCTGTGGTCGGAGATTTCCTCTGGTGCTGCTCATTGCACATGGGAATATGAAAGGGGAGGATTCGCATGGTCTGGCTTTCATCAGATCGAGATATGAGCTTATTGAGATTATGTACTGAGACAATGTGTGCCGTACTAATGATTAGTTTTCCTTCGTCTTTGGGTTTGCACATTGCTTGTGGTCGCCTTTGTGTAGCTGTTCTATGCTTGGGTGTATATTGGTGGAGTAGTGTTGGATGGTGTGCTGTTGCTGATGGTGGTTTAAAAGAGGCAATATCATAAGGTTCTTGTGGATTGGAGCTGCAGTTTGGCTGTGCGAGTTGCTGGGTTGGGCCGGTCGCTAGTAGACACTGCTTCGACCGGCTAACAATCATGTCCCTCACAGGACCTATCATCTTGTGCTTTTGGGTCTCCTAATGGTTATCACGTATGTCACTAAGCACCGAGAAATCTCTACCTGTGAGAGGTGCTCACAGTGTCCTACATGTGCAAATCTTCCAGAGTCATAAAAGACCTGTATGACAGGAAGTCTCGCATACAACCTAGGAGATATCCTTGTCTGTGTCTCCAGTGATCCTAGGAGATATCCTTGCTCAATCACCAGGTATGCCATAGAAGATAATCCCATAGAGAAGCTCCCAGAGCCTAAACTCAACATTGAGGAGGAGTCTTCTGCTAGATCTAGTCCTGACCTCAGTCCCTATCGATTAGAAATTGCTATCTTTTTTCAGTGCTTCTATAGGTTGAAGGTTAGATAGATTGCATATATCTTGTGTAAAGTCTGTAAGATGGTTTTACTGTTAGTCTATCTCAGATGTCCTTCCTCTTTCTAATCCTTCCTCCTTCTCTACTTTTCGTTCTTCCTCTCTCTTTACCTCGGCCCGCTTTTCGTCTTTTCCTTCCCGTCCTCGTCTTTTCCATCCTTCCTCTCTTCATTCCTCTCTCCCTTCTTTCACCTCTTTTTCATCCTTCATCTTTGCTGCTCTCTCCATCCTTACCTGTCTACCATTGCCCTCCCTCACTTCCTCCATTTCTCCTAAGATTCCTCCCTATATCCTAAGATCCTCCCTATAGTCCCTAAGATCCTCCCAATAGATATCTCCTAAAGCGGAAATCTCCCTATGATCCCTAAGATCCTCCCTATAGCTGCTAATATGGGGCTCCCTAATATCCCGTAAGATCCTCTCCTATGATCCCTAAGATCCTCCCTATACTCCCTAAAATCCTCCCTATATCTCTATATCCTCCCTATATCCCTAAGATCCGTCCTATAGTCCCTAAGAACCTCCTGTATCCCTAAGAATCCCCTATATCCCTAAGATCCTCCGCTCCCTTTCTGCCGTCCATCTGACTCACTAATTCCCTCCCTACCTCTCTCCATTCCTCACGTCCCCCCTCCCTCTGCTCTCCCTCCTGCCCTCCTGACCTCCCTCAACGGTCCCATCGCTGCGCTCCTACCCCTCCCTCCCTCTCGCAGCCTCCTACCCACCCTCCCTGCCCCCTACCCTCCGCTCCCTCGCTGGCCGTCCTGCCCTCCATTCCCTCGCCTGCCTCTTCCCTCCCTCCCTCGCAGCCTCCAAACCCGCCCTCCCTCGCTGCCTCCTACCCTCCACCCTCGCCTGCCTCCTACCCTCCCTCCCTCGGCTGCCCTCCTGCCCTACCTCCCTCCCTCCCGTCGCTGCCTCCTACCTCCCTCCCTCGCTGCTCCTACCCTCCCTCCCTCGCTGCCTCCTACCCTCCCTCCCCGCTGCCCTCCCGTACCCTCCTAGCCTCCTCGCTGCCTCCTACCCTCCTGCCCTCGCGGCCGTCCTAACCCTCCCTCCCTCGCTGCCTCCATATAACCACCCTCCCTCGCTGCCTCCTTCCTCCCTCCCTCGCAGCCACCTAACCCTCCCTCCCTCGCTGCCCTCCTACCCTCGCCACCCTCGCTGCCTCCTACCCCTCCCCTCCCTCGCTGCCTTCCTGCCCTCCCTCCCTCCCTCGCTGCCCTCCTACCCTCCCTCCCTCGCTGCCTCCTACCCTCGCCTCCCCTCGCTGCCTCCTATCCCCTCCCTCCCCGCTGCCTCCTATACCCTCCCTCCCTCCGCTGCCCCTCCTACCCTCCCTCCCTGTCGCGGCATCCTACCCTCCCTCCCTTCTCTGCCGGGGTCCTACCCTCCCTCCCCGCTGCCTCCTACCCTCACTCCCTCGCTGCCGGGTCCTCCCACCCTCCTCGCTGCCTCCTGCCCTCCCTCCTCCCCCCTCGCTTGCCTCCCCTACCCTCCCTCCCTCGCTTGCCTCCTACCCTCCCTCCCTTCGCTGCCTCCTACCCCTCCCTCCCTCGCTGGCCTCCTACCCAACCCTCCCTCGCGGCCTCCTGCCGCTCCCTCCCTCCCTCGCTGCCTCCTACCCTCCCTCCCTGCGCTGGCCTTCCCTGCCCGTCCTCCCCTCCCTCGCTGCCTCCTACCTCCCTCCCTCGGGGGCTCCTGCCCTCCCTCCCTCCCTCGACTGCCTCTACCCCTCCCTCCCTCGCTGCCTCCTACCCTCCCCTCCCACGTGGCCTCCTACCCTCCCCTCCCTCGCGGCCTCCTACCCTTTTCCCCATCCCTCGCTGCCTCCTACCTCCCTCCCTCGCTGCCTCCTACCCGCTACTCCCTCGCTGCCTCCTACCCTCCCTCCCTCGTCTGCCTCCTGCCCTCCCGACCCTCCCTCGCTGGCCTCCTAACCGCCCCTTCCCTCATGTCGCTAGCCGTCCGTAACCCTCCCTCCCCGCCTTCCTCCTACCCTCACTCCCATCGCTGCCTCCTACCCCTCCCTCCCCGCGGCCGTCCCTGCCCTCCCTCCCTCCCTCCGCTGCCGTCCTACCTCCACCCTCGCGCCCTCCTGCCTCCCCTCCCTCCCTCGGCGTGCCGTCGTTCCTAACCTTCCCTCCCCGCTGTGGCCTCCTGCCCTCCCTTCCCTCCCTCCCTTGCCTCCTACACCCTCCCCTTCCCTCGCGGCATCCTGCCCTCCGCCGCCCTCCCTCGCTGCCTCCCTTGCCCTCCCTCCCTTCCCTCCGCTGCCTCCTACCCTCCCTCCCGCGCTGCCCCTACCCTCCCCCTCGCTGCCTCCTACCCTCCCTCCCTCCCGTCGGCGGCCTACCTGCCCTCCCTCCCTCCCCTCTGCCTCCTACCCATCCTCGTCGCTGTCCCCCCCCACGGCCTCCTACCCCTCCCTCCCTCCTCGCTGCCTCCTACCCTCCCGCCCCTCGCTGCCTTCCTACCCTCCCTCCCTCGCGGCCTGCTGCCCTCCTCCCTCCCTCCCTCCCTCGCTGCTGTTCCTAACCCTCCCTCCCTCGCTGCCGCTCCTGCCTCTCATCCCTCGCTGGCCCTCCAACCCTCCCTCCTCGCGCCGTCCTGCCCTCCCTCCCTCCCCGCTGCCTCCTACCCTCCACGCCCTCGCTGCCTCCTGGCCCCCCCTCCCTCCCTCCTTCCCTTCGCTCCTCCTACCCTCCCTCCCTTGCAGCCGTCCTACCCTCCCATCCCTTTTGCTGCCGTCCTACCCTCCCTCCCTCGCTGCCTCCTAACCCTCCCTTCCCTTGCTGCCTCCAACCCCTCCCTTCCCTTGCTGCATCCACTACCCTAGCCGCTCCCATGCTGCCTTCCTGCCTCCCTCACATCCCTAACATTCAAGCTGTCTTCTAACGGTCCATTAAGAAGTCCAGTGAACTGTCCATAATGTCCTACCCCCTGGATAAATTTGTCGTGAAATGTCAGGTGGGCCAGAGTGACAGACCTGCCCCTGTTGTTTGTTTTGTTGTTTAGGTATCCAGGACAAGTAACCTGGGGATAGATTAGATTGGACTTAGGTACCTGGGGTGGACTCTGTGGACTCTTAAACCTGGGACTGTCTTAACCGGGACTTGTACCTGGGACTGCCTAGTACCTGGTGAAAATGTACCTGGGACATAGTACGCGTGATACTAGCTACCTGTGGATCTACACTTATGGCAGAGTGTATGTGGGTTCTGATAACGTGATTGGGGTAAAAAACACTCACTTAGGCTGGTGAGTACGTATAATAAAAACGGAAAGAATGGAAGCACCATCAGCCGCCCTGACCTCTACTGCTCGCTACCTATCTCAAACTGACGATCAATTGTGAATGTCGTTATTCCCATACGTACATCGACAGATATTTAGCATCCTCAAGTATCATTTTGTTACCTCTTACCAACTTCCATATTTGCCTCAAATACAGCATGAGTTTAGCCAGTGCAACAGAGTTGATCCTTCCAGAGATGAACACCCATTCTGCATATGCGAAACTACACCCCTAGCAGAGTGGGGATTAAATGTAAATAACAAGTAAAGATGAAAATTACAGTATCTTACTTATCAGTATTCCAATGAATTATTTTTGTGTGTTTCACGTTCACTCCGAATTCTGAGATTTAACAGTCTGGGCTAGATTTGAGTGCAACCGATCTGCTTTCTGTTAAACTACTCTCTTTCGTTTGTATCGAATTTCTTCCCTCTAAATCCGAATCACATGAATACAGATCGATCGATCAAATTTTTTTTAAATCATTTCTATTGTGTAATCCAAATGTTGAGTACTGCTCGATGAGTTGTTGTTATATCATATAACATTGTATTGCATTACAGTTTCATCAGCAGTTTGGTATTACATTTTCATTATGTCATTACGTAAGCCTTTCCATTCCAATATTCCTCCTTATGTTATAAATGTTCCCAACTGATGTGTAATTTGACAATGTATAGAAATCAGCCCAAGCCGAACAGCCTGCCGTTCTATTTTGGTATTAGCTGTATGTCGGGACGACATACGTTAGCGGGACCGC